CTGCACTAACAGCAAAATACACGGTAATAATTGGGCTACGTTGACCGGCTACTCATTGGAGGAACCTTTCGCCCCACAAAAATATTCGTTGATCAAATCTTGTGTAAATAATTTATCCAAAATCATCTATGCAATTTTTTTTTTGCCTTTTCTTTGAAGTAAAAGAAGGTTTTTCTTCCAAATTTTCATTTGTGATATCACTGGATTCCTTGTCCATTTTTCGCGTATGAGGGCTACACTTCTGACAAGTTGTAAATTTGGCAAAATCTCATATTAAATAATTATATATAAATATAAATATACGTTGGATTTACTCATGCCAAGAAGTTTTTCGATCTCCACAAAATTGTCAACAATGTGAGCAGCATCAATAAATGCTTGCTTTGCTTCATTTGAAATTTTGTTATTTTTTTTCTGGGGTATTTCAGATTTTCCAGTTTTCATTTGATTTGTTTGGAATTTGTTTTTTAGACTGCTGTTTTTTTTATTCGTTTTCGCTTTCTGTGGCGTGTTCAAACCAAAATATGTTGTGTTCAATTCGGTGTTATTTTGTCAGATAGTGCGTTGAAAAATTAGGTCAAAATTTAGGAGTTCAAACAAAAAAAGTGTAGGCAGAGAAAATCCGTTCATTTTGTATGGCCTAAAAAAGCCTATAAGAGCAACAAAAAAATAGCTGCGAGAAAAGGCTCGGATAATTTTGCATTTCACACTTTGTTAGATACATTTGCCACCTGCTTTACTCCCTTTTTAACAAGTTGAGTATGAAATGATTAATATTTCGGAAAAACTGAAGTGTTCTGAGAGTTTTCTAATTCGTCAAAAATAACTCTTTTTGCGTTACTTCTACATCAGTTAATTACCCTTCTGTTTCCGATCGCGTAGAGGAGAACTTGGAGCTGGACGTGGTTTGTTATGTAATTAACATAATATATTTGAACCTCGTATAAGATTGAGGAAAAAACACCGAAAGGAGCGGTCTCATTGCTGATATACGGCAGAAGCATCGCAAACTAGCGCAAAGTATGAGGTGGAAGCCACCGTCGAAGACAATAACTTGAAAAATCACAAGAATCTAAAAATTGAAAAAGTCATACGTTTGTCTTGCGTGATGTTCATTTTGAGAAAAAGTGTTCAGTAAACACATTCACCACCAATGGAAAAACATTTGTATTTTTTTTCCGGTCGGCAGCTGAGCCGTCAATATTCAGGTAGGTTTGAAAAACAATTTTTTTAGATATATGGTTTTGGAATTCGATTTTTGTAAGCCATATTAACTTGCAGCACAAAAAATATACATTTGCAATTTTTTTATGATTCTTTATGGGGCATTTCAGATTTTTCAGTTTTTATTTGAATTGTTTGGAATTTGTTTAAGTTAGTATAAAATTTGTTTCATTAGACTCCTGTTTTTTCGATTCGTTTTCGCTTTCTGTGGCGTGTTCGAATCAAAATATATTTTGTTCATTTCGGTGTTATTTTTCAGATATTGCGTTGAAAAATTATATCAAAATTCACGAGTTCAAAAAAAGTGTAGGCAGAGAAAAACCGTTCATTTTTATGGCCTAAAAACCTTAAAAGAGCAAAAAAAAGCTGCAAAAAATTAGGCTCGTTTAATTCTGCAATCACACTTTGTTAGATACATTTGCCACCTGCTTTACTCCCTTTTAATAACTTGAGGATGAAATTATTAATATTTCGGAAAAATTGAAGTGTTCTGAGAGTTTTCTAATTCATCAAAAATAAATCTATTTGCGTTACTTGTACATCAATTGATTACCCTTCTGTTTCCGATCGCGTGGAGGAGAACTTGATGCTGGACGTGGTTTGTTATGCTATTAACGTACTACATTTGAACCTCGTTTAAGATCGAGGAAATAACATGGAAAGGAGCGAAGCATCGCATCACCTGATATACAGCAGAAGCATCCCAAACTAGCGCAAAGTATAAGATGGAAGCCACTATCGAAGAAAATAGCTGGAAAAGTCACAAGAATCTAGAAATTGAAAAAGTCATGTTTGTCTTGCATGGTGTTCATTTTGAGAAAAAGTATTCAGTAAACACATTCACCACCAATGGAAAAACATTTGTAGTCTTTTCCGGTCGGCAGCTAAGCCGTCAATATTTAGTTAGGTTTGAAAAAATTTTCATTAACAAAAAACGAAAACCTTTTATGGATATATGGTTTTGAAATTCGAATTTTTTAAGCCACATTACTTCTAGCACAAAATAACACAACATAATTTAAGCGACGCAAAAGGAGACAAATAAGACGATATGACATCAGCCGAAAGCACTTAAGCAAAAAAGGAAACATGAAGTTATACAAAATCAGTGTTACAAAGATACAATTTATAGATAGATTTTCAGTTATGGCTGAAGTTTCTTGAATCACTGAGAGAACCATTGATGCGCCTCTGCTTAAAAATTACCTGCAATTTTTGGGTAATATTCGGGGTTGGTTAATGTTCCTCACTCTTGAGCAACGAACAGAGATCATGGTGGGCCTCGAACATCTTACCTTACGATTGTGAGGCGGACGTTATCACACCACTACTCCCATTGACATTGGAATTTTATTTCGAGGCTCAAAAGCACTCTCTTTGGAATAGCTTTACAGTGGCACAAGGGCATCGTCTAGGGGACAATAGTGTTACGGCAAACACTTTAGGTAATATTAGAAGGATGGCAATTATTCCGAAGGAAAAAAATTACATCAAGGTGAAAAAACATCAAATTAAAAGAAACTTCAGTCTTGTAATCATAATAGAGATGATTCATTAAAAGATGACCAAATTCACATTCTTGAAAACCATCAGCAGCGTATAACCTTAATTTCAAGTATTTGACAACCATCAATTTAAGTGCAGATAAGATTGCTGATCTTCAACTGCTATTTACTTATATATAATCTCAAAATTGTACTTCTAAGCATCATATTTGACAAGAACTCAAGATAACCTTAGCAAATACGAAAAAATAAGGTCAATGGTTGATCATATGACCCTTTCTCATTTGATCTCTTGTAGCCGATTAAACCAACTTCAAAAGAAATGATTGCAGCAATCGGAGCGAATAAAGTAGTTTTGGTAACCGGAAGTAGTTCTGGGTTCGGAGCGGCAACCGCAGTCAAATTTGTGGAGAAGGGAGCTCGGAAGGTCGTCATTACAGCCAGAGGGCTGGAGGGTCTCGAGGACACGAAACAGAGATGTCTGGAAGCTTCAGAAGATGCGGATGTTTTCATTGTTAAAGGTCAGTCAGTCAGCCACGTTCACTACTCTCGCAGCACAAATAAACTGCTCATCCAAACCCAATGATTGCACAATAATTTTTTACTGTATAGTTTTTCCTAAATTTTTAGAGAAGGGAAGCGGAGGAGCCATGTTAATCGTTTCATAGAATTTGTTGAGTTCGTAGAAATTTTGACGTACGCATAAATAATCGATTCATTTTCGGTTCACCAGCAGCCATCGCGTCAAATTTCGAAAAGAAATTTCGCGGTACAAAAAAATTCAAGTCATTTTTTCATTTGTTTTTCTATTAATTCATTCAAGTCAAAAATAGCTAGAAAGGGATTAATGTAAATTACATTCCATAATTAAGCAATCCAGGAAACTATTGATTTAAAAAGGCGCTGCACATGTCAGAATTTATTCAAAAACAAACCACATCAGACTAACAATTCTCAACGTTGAATTTATTTTTTTAAAGCTGAAATTGGGTAACATTATGTTCTTCTACCGCTTCGCAAACTTTTTGAGGCGAAATAGGAAAGCCGCACACATCTAAGTCTGTTTCACCCTTTTAAAGGGAGAGGTTAGCACGTATATTTTTTTAAAGAATGCAGACATGGAAGATATTTCGGTAACTTTTTTCTTGTTCAGGTGTATTTCTTATTTCACACTTTTGTTCTCAGGTGACTTGACTAAAACAGAGGACTGTGACAATTTGGTCAACAAAACGATTAATAAGTTCGGGAGAATCGACGTGCTTGTCAATAACGCAGGAGCGAATATCCTGGGCGGCCCCATAACTTCCCAAGACGTTGAGAAATATGACGTCATGTTTTCTATCAATGTTCGAGCCGTATACTATCTCACTTACCTGTGTATTCCCTATCTGCGTGCAACACGAGGCAACATTGTCAACATTTCCAGCATTGCTGGCTCTATACCTATTCAGAACTGCATTCTCTACTGCATGACGAAATCCGCCATTGAAATGTTCACTAAGTGCCTAGCCGCAGACGAAGGTAGTTCCGTCCGAAGTGCGGTCAAAAAGAAGACATGTCAAAAAGCAGACACGTCGTAAGCCAATCAGAGTCGAGAAAACATTAAATGAACGACATATTTTCTTTTCCCGATTCTGATTCGCTTACAATGTTTCTTAAAGCCCTGTCTACTTTTTGCTATACAACATTCTGTCCACAGTTCATTTTGCATCAATTGCATTCTGTATCGATTGAAGGTCAAAAAATTTTGCGTAGTTCTATAAGCATAATGCATTTGACACAATTAGGGAATTTTCCAGTAGAAAAAAATTTAGAAGACATGCTTTCGGTATGGAATCGAATTTATCGATTTTATTTCATGCTCAAAAACGAAGTTTATCACCGATCAATATTTCCAGTTTACATATTTATCTTTCTGGGCTTTTTTCAACTTCTTTGTCCACAATTAGCAGCATTTTTGTTCGAAGACAAACTCACGAGTTTGAATTTGAATGACCAGGTTAATAGATAAAAATTCGAACTAATTTAACCTTGGCAGCAGTTCGAAAAGTTTTACTGAACTTAAAGAGACCAAAAACAAATGACTGATATTTTTTTTGAAAATTTTTCAATTTGTGTTTCAAAGAAACCAATAAATTACCTTTACAGTTTTTGAATTTCAAGAATCTTTTATTATAACCACTTTTGATAAAACTAACCAATATGAGAAACTGGATCACAGGGTATTTTTAATCCGCTAGTAAAACTAAACTAAAGTCCACTTTTGAACGTATGGGTCAATCGCGGTTTTTCGCACCATTTGCATTTTTGCAATTGGAGAACAAAAACTTCTTTAAATAATTAACATATGAACTTCAACTTTACGCATGAATTTAATTTTATATATAAATTTAAAGGTCTCCTTAAAAAAGAACTCTTAAAGTCAAACCAAATTTGATCGTGATTAACTAGAAGAACTTTTAGGGAAAAACTACACGACCTAGATACGATACTTAATCATATCCCTAATTTAATCATTTCGTTCATTGACACTAATCATATCCAGAACTGGAGGTGAGTAAAATTAATCCTGCCTGCTATCGATTCATACACCTGCATTAAATGAGACCAATAGAGTCACAGACTCGACCCACACTGACTCACATTGACCCCCACCCATTACAGTGCTCGCTCGAAATACTACTGCATACTTCATTAACAAACAGAGATGGAATTTGTGCAGTTTCACGCTAACAATCTCACTTAAATTAAATAGTCCACGGAATGTATACCATGATTTACTACTTGACCCATGTCAACAGTAATTCTAATTGTTGGGAGTAATTGTCCTGACATACGCCCACTTTCAGCTCAAAATTTCAAAAACCATTTTAATCTTCGTCTCCATTTGTAGGTGTACATGGGGTGCGGGCTAACTGTGTTGCGCCCGGAGTTATTCTCAACGGGTTCCATCAGCGATTCGGCATGTCTGACGACGACGTCGAGGGTCTAAAGGAGCGGGTAAAAGTTAGTCATCCGGGAAACGGAGGGAGATTGGGCGAAAATGAAGATGTCTCCAAAGTTATTGTATTTCTGGCCAGCAATGAAGCTTCATTCGTCACAGGACAAATAAATCTGGTCGACGGAGGGTTCAGCTGCTACAATCCAATTTAAAAGTCTGACTTGATTGAAAAACGAATTGAAAAACGTCGGGGAAAACAAATAAATTTAAACTTAACTTCAATTTACAAATTGATCAATAATCTATTTCAAATTTATAATATATCTATATCAATGTTTTTACACACTTTTATTCAAATTATACACACTTTTATACAACTCCAATAATTAGGCTTGAAAAATGAATAAAACTTACTGAAATTTTACAAACACAAACTATCCACGGTACAAACCGATTGCAATACATGACAACGTCCAGGGACGGATCTAGGATTTTCTCCAGAGGGGGGATTTCCAAAAATTTCGCTGACTTTTTTTGTCGACCAATTTGATTTTCTGAGCTCTCCCTCAAAATTAGTATATGCTGGCTGAGCCTGCAATTTGAGCCTGAACAAATTTTAGGACATTCCCGAAAAAAAAATTAAACAAAAAAACCATCACGACCTATATAAGCTTCTGAACTATGTTCATGACTCTTGATCAACTAATCAAACACAGCCAGCAGGCAGTTAGACAAGTATCAATGAACTCGAGCACCACAAAAAGAGTGATTATTGCTTTTTTCATTCACTTGAGAAATTATATCAGTTTAAGCTAGTTAGTTAACAAATAAAAACAAAGTTTTCAAAAAAAAGTGATTACTAAAACAAAACTAAAATCACATTTCAGTTTGAAGAGCGGAACTTCAACTCCATTTTTATGTTTGATATTTCAAATTTGAGCTCAACTGATGACCCTGCAAGCTTCAACTTTGCCTTTGATTAGAAATTATTAAAAATCAAACAATCAAAAATTATCAAACAACTCCAATCAAGTAGTGCTGACTTCGACAAGTCCTTCGAAGAAACCTTTGACCTTCAGCAGTGAGCCTCCATTTGTCAAAAAGAAACAATGTCCGTCAAAAAAGGTCATCGTGATCACTGTTTCCGAGAAAGCCAACTGAGGGTTCTTGTAGATCTGAGGCTCACTGAAAGTCAGAACGTGACCAGGTTTCGAATTCTCTGGTTTCTTGACCTTTAACCTTATGACAGATTGGTCCATCGCTCTGCAAAAAATGAGTTCGAGTCTTCCCTCTCTTTCTATAAACAACATTTCGTCAACATCTCGACACCATTTGAGGGGAATTTCAGTTTTGATGTAATTCTCCGAGTTGAATTTCAATTGGTGAATTTCTAATTTCTGTGTTTCCCTTTTCCGGACATTTTCGTGGAACATCGCTACCACAAGTTGAACACAGTCGTACGGCTTCTCGTAGAGTGAAACTAGAGTTGTACTTTGATGTTCAACTGGCGAGTTGCACTTAATTGGAGGGTACAATTTGGGCGCGAACTTCATTTTCTTCTTTCCCGAACAGAGCGCTGTAATCCTTTTATCTTTTTTGACGAAAGCATGGCAATGTTGAACAGAAAGCACTTGAGGCTCCTTGTTGAATGTTTCGTACAAGTAAGCTGTGCCACTCCACAAACTAGAAGACGCGGCTGATAGAGTCGAGTATCGATCGGGTTCCACAATTACAACCACCCCTTCAGTGAACGCACTTAGTCCATACACTGCACCTTCAGGACAATCAACGGACACCTACATCAAAAACATAGCCAAACGAAGATTGGAAAAGAGTAATCAACGCAATGTACATAAAAACCCTTTCTTGAAAAAAAAAACTTTCGAATTTCTTTTCGCTTTTTTGCTAACATGAACCCAACTATAGACAACTGGATCAATAGGTTAAAGTTTTTATTCCGCTGGAAATCTAAAAATTAAACTCCACTTTCGAAACTAGAAAATCGTTCACGTTTTTTTGCGCTATTTCCACGTTCGTATTTGAGTGCTATTTAGTCTCTTTCAGCAGACGAATTGCAATTGAACAGCAAGACCTATATATATAAGAGTCTTCACTACGTTCATTACTTTTAAAAGTAAATTATTTCCAGTATACTTCCGTGCTCAAGAAACTTTTTTCTTTAAATAAACCAGTTTGGGCAATCGCCATCATTGATCTAATGCCCTTTTCAAATGACTCTTCACTAAGAAAAAAACTAGAACTTTAATTGAAAAAGTAGAAAAATACAACAAAGCTACACTTGTGTTACTCTCCTTTATGATTCAAATATCGAAGATTTAAGTAGATTTAACGGTTCTGCCGCCGATTTCATTGCAATGAAAAAACAATGAGTAAATTCTTACATTCAATACCACGCAAAAAAAATCAAAGATTATTTTCCTGTCCCAAACCTGTGATTTTCTACCAAAAGAAACTTACGCCAACATCGCTCGATTGAGTTGAAACTTTGCATACAGGGTTAGTACTCAATTCCAAACACATTGGTTTTTAAGCATAACCTTGGACAAAATCTAATTTGCCTAAAACAGAATCGCACATTTGTGAATCCCCTACTGTTGACAAAAACAAATTTTATTGTATCGCCGTCGGAGCGGAGCAGTAAGAGAGCTAATCTAAATTAAAATACTAAGTTAATGACCTTGCGACTCGAATGATCTCCGCTTGAAATCATCTCCATCTCGACTCTGTCGAAGTCTCCGTCGTTATTCTCCAAACAGAGCAAATTATTTGACGCTTTCATTCGCGGCTTGTCGTCATGTTTGTAGCTTCGAAACAGACTCACACTCAGATTTAGTGACTTCGAGCTTCGGAGAGAAAGAGAATCGAAGTCAGGCGAAAAGGGCTCATGTCGCAGCCAGTATTCAATCGACTCTTTGAACTTGGGCCCTAAAATTCCCCTGAGACTGGTTTCGATTTTACTTTTCGGTCTGCCTCCGCTCTTATTCAAATAAGGCACTGATAATTCAATCCCCGTTCTAAACAAGGATCCATTTTTACTCCTTTTTTCTATTGTCGATATAACTTGATCGCCTTTGAATCCCAGAAGCTTGTTTAACTCTTCTTGTTTGGCGTCAAGATTGACAATTTCATTCTGAATAACTTCTGCTTTTTGGCGCACATTAGTGAATGAATCTGCTATTAAGATCTCTCTGTTGCTTAGAGCACTGTCAAACTCCTGCAAAACTGTTTCGAAACATTGGCGAAGTAAATTTTTAATCTCCAGCTTTGTTCGAACTTGGTCCTCGTTGTTTGTACTTTCTACCGTTTCTGAGGCCATTTTGGCGGCTGCCTCCAAATTTACCCTGTCTCTTTTATTCTCACTCATTAGCCCTTCCAGTTTTTTCTTGGCATTTTCGGCCAAAATTTTGATGTCATACAGCGCGTGCTCCTTATGCGCAGGCACACAATCCACGCATAGTCTGGTTTGACACATTTCACAGTAGATTTTCTGGTAGAGTTTTCCGTGTTTTTTACAAACTCCGGCTTGACACCCACTTTTATCAACCATATCGGGTAACTTTTCCACATTTTTTTCCTTGGAGCAGTGTTTTGTCGTATAACAATCTACCTTCTACCTTATAACGTATAATCGTTAAATAATTCTAGAAAACACTGAAATTTCGTAAAAAAGGAAAACTTGCCACGTCTAGCAAAAAAAAAACTCATTTCGACAAAGTTTCTGCATGTTATTTATTTAATCTGATGAGAAAAAGGTCAGCACGTAACATCTATAATCTGTACCATCTGTGGAAAAAGTATAACGCGCACAATACACTGCCTTGATGATGCAGTTGCTGCACAAGTAGCAGTCGCCTTCCGAGCCAGAACTGAGAGGTCCCTTGACCCAGTAGTCCACATCTGCCATCTTTTTCCAGCAGTCGAAGCAGTTGAATTTATTCTCACCTGGCACCAACGATGTCCAACTCAATCACAATTCAGTTAAATTCTGCTGATTAAAATACAGAGGCGGAGCTGTGCTTCCACTTTCATGTACAAAAGAAGCCTTAAAAAAGTTTCCTTGAAAAATCAAAAGAGCACACGCAGGGGCGGATTTAGGGGGATTAGTATATGCTGGCGCCTTTAGGAAAATTTTAGGATTAGTCGGCCTAAAATGGATGCCATAAAATAATAGCAAAGTGCCTTTGGTAGTTAGGAGGTCGAATCCCTGAGGTTATTGTTTTATGACATCTATTTTAGGCCGACCAATCGTATAATTTTTCTAAAAGTGCCTCTGGCGCCAATATATACTAATTTTGAAGGGGGAGTTTATTGGTCAAAATATTCCAAAAAGTGCCCAACAACGGCATTTATGACCTGTTTTTTCAAAAAGGTGCCTGCTGAGCACTAAAGTTTTCGTCCAAATAGAGTCTTTATTGTGTTCTGGGAGCGCTTGGAAAAGCAATTTGGTCGACCTAAAAAAGGTCGACAAAAATTTCGAAAAAAAATCCGCCCGCCCCTCGAGAAAATCCTAGATCCACCCCTGAACTTACGAAAAGTTACATGAATCAAGTAAAAAGAAGCTGATTTAATTTCAAAAAAATATTGAAATTTTTCACATCAAACTGAACAAATCATTCAAATTGAGGCACTGAATCAACGTGCATTTTTGTACCGTATACTTTTCTGGTATTTTTAAGGTATATATTCACTTTACAAAAAATGTCACGAAATATTTTTCACTCATATACACGCTGTGTATTTGGAGGCCAAAGTTTTCAAAAAATGAACCGCTACAGTTTTTAAGCGACAAAAAATGAAAGTGTACAGAATAAACGGAGATACATAAAATCGCTGTGAGAAAAATTAATAAAGTTTTAAATAAGGAAAGGCATTCATTTGTTTATTCCTTCCTTAACTAACTGTTTTCCTTTCAAATACTATAAGGGAGTTTTCGGCAAAAAATTTCACTTCTAGGTTTGAGGACGTGCACATCTTTTTAAATTAACTTAATGGACATCCGTGCCTGGAGCATCTATGTCCTTTGGAGTGTTAACATCATCTTTAGATGCGTCCGCATTCTGAGCCCCACTGATTTCTTTACTACCCTCAGCGTTTAGTTTATAGTCTTTATCTTCTACATTATTGTCAATTGTTTTAGTCTCGTTTATATTGCTTTCATCTGGAACATCCTTCTTTTCAACAGTGACTTTGGTCTTGCTATCTGTCTCAGTGAGCTTGAGTGACTTTTTGCGGCTCTTTACTGAATTAGTTTCAACAGCCGACATCGGCCTGAAAAGCATGCACATTTTTTCATGCGTCGTTTTATCGATGATATAAGAAGAATTTATTTATGTAAAACGAGCTCGCGGTAAGAAAACACCACCCAAGCGATTCAAAACAAACGAGCAATATAGAACTCCAACATTCAAGAAAATTGAAAATAAGACTCAAAAGAAATCAAGAAAAAATCGACATAACGGAAGATTACACCAGCTATCGGTGGCTATATAATCAACGTATTTTATACTAAATCACATAGACATCCACTGACACCTCTACAGACGTTTGTCTAGCATTTACCAGGCAGCAAGGAATGTGGCGCTTCAATTAAGCGACTAGCACGTAAAGCAACTCAGGTGTTTCAAACAGAATAATGGACGTGAAAATTGCTTATATGAAATATATGAAAAAACAACGAAATGAAGGCAACCATAACAAAATACGGAGACATCTAACAATGCATTTTATTTCAAAAATTCATCGAAAAAAACACTAGGGTTCTTTCTCAACTAAGAAACAACCTTAAAACTGCTGACTCTCTTTCTATATTAAAAAAAATTGAAACAAAAAATCAATAAAATTCATAAATGAGATTCTTGTTTAATTTAGGTCCCATGAGAGTACCCCGACAGCACCCAAACCAGCTACAAGGTTGGGATTTCAAATAATTTGTGATTTTTTTAATAATTATGTTTTCTGAATATTTTTGAACAAATCAAAGAAGACGCCATATCTCGAAAACTAAAAAGAATTGAGCAGTCACATTTGGAGGCAAAACTTGCAAACTCGCATAGTACACTGACAGCACCCAACTACAGGGTTGGAAATTTCAAATTTTTATATCTAAGTTTTCTGAAAAACTATGAAAAAATAATTAAAATGTCATCACATCTCAAAAAAAAAAAACGATTTGAGATGTCACGTTTGGGAAAAAATGCAATACCACAGATAACCCTGACAGCACCCAATTACAGGGCTGGGTATTTCAAATTTGCGAAACTTTTTTTCTTATCTAAGTTTTCTGAAACACTATGAAAAATAACATAAAACTCGGAAAAAAATGATTTGAGATCACATTTGAGATTCCGCATATCTCGGAAAAAAATGATTTGAGATGTCACATTTAAGAGAAAATTGCAATCCCAGAGAGTACCCTGACAGCACTAAGCTACAGGGTTTAGAATTTCAAAAAAATATATAACTATGTTCTCTAAAAATTTTCGAACAAATCATAGAAGACGCCATATCTCGAAAACGAAACTTAAAAGAATTGAGCAGTTAAAACTGGAGGCAACATTTGCAACCCCAAAAAGCAACCTTACAGCACCCAACTACAGGGTTAGAAATTTCGAATTTTACGAAACTTTTATATCTAAATTTTCTGAAACACTATGAAAAAATAATAAAAAATGTCATCATATCTCAAAAAAAAAACTATTTGAGATTTCATATTTGGGGGAAAAATTGCGATTCCAGAGAGCACTCTGACAGCACCCAACTATAGAGTTGGGAATTTCAAATTTTGTCAATTTTTTTTTAATCTAATTTTTAAAAAACATTTCGAAAAAAACGTAATATCTCGAAAACGAAAAAGATTTGAGAGGTCACACTTGGGGGAACAGTTTGCAGCCCCTGAACGTACCATGACAGCATCCAACTACAGGGTTGGGAATTACAAATTGTTTATATCTAAGTTTTCTGAAAATTTTTGGAAAAAAAATGAAAAACTTCATCATACCTCGAAAACAAAATCTTCGTATTTCGTGAACTAAAAGGATCTGGGTACACATATTTCGAGGTCAAATTGGCAAACGCTGGGGGAACCCTTACAGCGACCGACTATTGGCTTGCTTATGTCAAACATGGTGAAACCAACACTGAATTCTATCTGGAATATCCAAAAAAAATTCTGATGCATGGGAATATACGATTTCGCTTAAGCGTGAAAAAAAATCGTTCGTTAAATTGGCAAAAAAATTACTTTGAAAAAAGTTGAAATAGGCCAGATAACGCAGCCCGCATTTAAATATATAATAGATAGATAGATAGATAGATAGATAGATAGATAGATAGATAAATAGATAGATAGATAGATAGATAGATAGATAGATAGATAGATAGATAGATAGATAGATAATAGATTATAACAACGTTTGCCACTGCAATAGCGCAGAAACAATTCTGTACAAAAAAGAGTAACTTTTGTTTTACTTAACTATTCTATTTGAGGAAAACCTTTAATGTTTGTTATCTCATATCAGATTGCCTGAAAACAACGGATTCGCGCAGAACCATACATTCAAACAGAAAATAATAATTCAAAAATTTCAATCAAAAATGTTAATTTTAGTGTCGACAAGTTGAAATGGTCGAAAATAAAAACGAAAAAAGATGAAAACGATGCATTGACACTATTTCGAAATAAATGTTCTCTATCCCCACACACGCTTCAAGCTCCTTTGACAACAGCTCTGCTCGAAGAGGAGGAGGCTAATCAGATTTTTTTCAAACACTTTTATAGCTCAGGACGGCACGACAATATAAGAAGACAATGTAACCCATCACAAAAAAACGCAGCAAAACAAAAAACATTGAGCACCAATGACCAAAATCACCTGATGGATACCACAAAACAGACCAAAAATTAGCGGCAAAGGGGGCGGACCTGCACTTATTATCATGGATGACGATAAGTACCAGACACTCAAACTTCCTCAACATGTGCACTCTAAATTCAAACGCGTATAACGCTCTGTTGGTCTCAGAACGACAATCTCACTCACACGGCCTAAAAATTGAAGAAAATGACGCAACCAACTTTGTCGTACATGCCAAAACACACACCCAAACACACAACTAGCAACAATATAACTATCTTTACATTAGCTTAGCAAAATCAAATTTGGCAAGGTCCATTGATTGGCACAGTGACGCTATATGGGATCAGACAATTCAGCTATCACCTAGGAATTACGTGCGCAATTAAACTGTCACAACAATGAAAACCTGCATTAACTTGCACACGTTAGAGCGGACTGAAAAAGCTTTCGGGTAGCGAGTGAAAAAGCATTTGGCAATTAAACTTGGCCTTAATCGACTACCGAAGGCGAAAAATATGTTCCGGAACAATTTGCGGTCCGGCGTCTAGAAATATAAGTAAAGGTTGCAATAAACAGGTGCGGCCGAAATCTCCAACAGACACTCAAAAACTCTCTAAAGAAAGGGACAGATTCTAACATCAACATCCCAGAAAGCCCGAACAAGTTGAGCCCAAAAAAGTTAACTGTGGTCCACACTCAAACAGCAAAAAAGAAAAGAGCAGTTATAGG